CCTGTTGTGACTCTATTGTCAATTAATTATATTGGACGACCCAAAGTTCTGCAATTAGGACATGGGAAGTTTTTGAGTCTTTCACCAATGCCCCCACTTCCTCCATATATGACATATGCAAAGAAATTCTTTAAGAATGTCTCATGTGAATGTGGTTATTATGGGATAAAATGAACCAAGTTGCTTATATGTAAGAGATGAAAGACCTTTTCACACTACAGTACTACAGTATTTTTTGTAACCTAATTGTAGTTTTTAAATCCACTTCAATGTACCTTCCATGCTCCCTTTCACATATATGTGGCACAAATAGTGTGAGAGACTAAAACAAGCTGTGGAAAAATAAAGATGACACTTTTGAAATAGAGTACACATTCGTAGCTAATGTGGGTTTCAAATTTGCATTGTAAGTCTATAGAATACAAAAGAATTTTAGAATACTTTTTAACAAATAAAGCTTAATTATGTATTGTCTTTCCTACCATTTAGGTCAGCTTTGTCTACTGCTAATGGAGAATGGGGTGCAGAAAAATATTATGCACATTATCTCCTATTAATCCCTTCCAGACGAAGAAGATTATGCACATTATCTCCTATTAATCCCTTACATCTATGCCATACATCAATAAAAATGTTTGAATATTTTTATGCTTTTCCTTAGAGGTGTAGTTTTCCTTTAATTATTTATTTACGTAGTGTTTCCAATACAAAATAGTGCTCAAGGTGGCTTATAGTCTTCATAAATGTGCAGTTTTCCTTTGTTTATTTACGTATTTAGTGTTTCCAGTGCAAAATAGTGCTCAAGGTGGCTTACAGTCTTCATAAAAGAACAGAAACAGGTAAAATAAAAAATGCAAATAAAATCAGCTCCACCACCACAACAATTGAATCAACTAAATGTATTTAAACCATTAAAATCAATGATGCATACTACCAAAAAAATTGCAGGGTACATTAAGCATCATATGCTGGTGGCAACTGATAGCAACCTTGAAGGAAGTGCATTCTGCAGTCTGGACATCATTCAGGAACACACATACCCCTCTTGTGTGCTTGTTAGGTAGGCCTCTGAAACCCTTGGTATTCTTAGAAAGGCCTCTCTTCTGGACAGGTTTATAGTGAGACAGGTGGTCGGTCAGGCAATGAGGTGCCAAGCTCTTTTGCAGCATTACATGTTAAAACCAACACAATGAATTGGTCCCAGTATGCAACCAGCAGCCAGTGCAGGTCTTTCAATATCAGGGTCATATGATCATGATACTATGTACATTGATGGCAACTCACTCCAAAGCTTCAAATGACTTCTCCCAGCAACTTCATGTAAATAATAAGTAATAGAGATAAGCTGGAGCTCATTGGGGTGCCAAAAGCCATTGTGTCAAAAAGTGCTTCCCCAACACCACCTTTTGTATATGTCCTGGCAGAAAGGATCAGAATCAGTGCAACACAGTGCCCCCAATATCCAGGCGATCCAACAAGGTCCCACCATCAGAGGTATTGAATGTTAGCTTTTGCTAGTAAATTTAAGACAAGAATATACCCCCCCCAGTGGTAAAAAGATCAATAAAGACGATGGCATCAAGCTACGTAAGACAGCTGCTGCTGGATAAATAAAAAGCCTGATGATGAAATTGAGAAAAATTCTGGACTGAAAATAATGATAAATCTAACCATGAGACCAATCCAGGGAAAGTAAAACAGTGTTGTTATCCCCAAATGGGGGAAAAATAGAAAACAGCATTACGAACGATGGGACATATGATATATATATACATTTTAACATGAGCACATTGCTGATATTTAAATATTAAAAATTAGGTTAGATGTATGCTCATGTGCTGCTATTATACAGAAGACTTTAATAAAGCCATCAGAAGCAATGACACATAACACTTTTGAAAAATGAATACTACAAACTCGTTCTGCAACCTCAGTTCAGACATGACTTGTGTATTGGAGGAAATGGAACAAGTTAATTGTGATTTTAAGTTTGGCTTTGTCATGACTTTGGGCTTTGTCCCAAATTTAAATTTGTACAGTAGTATGTTGGATCTTTAACAAAAAGAAAATGGATAATATACTGTATTAAACTGCAGTGTTAATGCTCTGGTGCCACACAGTGGTGAAATTTTAAGTAACAAACAGTTTAAAAAATCATATTGATTTAACGCCTCTTAGGCTGCAATTACAGTACACTGACAAATAGTACAGAATTTGCTGTCAAAGTAGAACAGATTAATTTAATTTTTTTATCTGAACACAGAATGCAAAGGCCAATGTGAATCAGCTCAGTCCCTTTTGCTTTAGATGTGGAAATTCTTCTCTAACACTGGGGCCCTCTACTTTCTTAAAGCCAGAGTGATTCAAACTGTGTTTTCCTTGTGTGATCGTTTGTTTCATTCTTCTAAAGGAAAAAGGATGTGACTGTGGGTTATATTCTTGCAATGTACTAAGCTGGGTATGATATTTTGGAGAACGGGAACATCAACCTCCATGATCTTGTCACCCTGAAGTTTTTTTTAAAATTGTACTAGATCAGCTTACCACTGCATTGATATACTAGTTTAGTGCTAGATGCATGGACAAAGACAGAGATTAAAATCAAGATAAAATAGAAACAACTCCCACAAACTAAAGGAGCTACTAACCAATACTGTCCACTATCTACACTGGCTTTTGTGAAAAATTTACCCTGAATATATTAAAACCTAATATAGACCAGCAGCCTTCACTTAGTCATTAACACAATAACAACATAGACTATTATAACTGATACAATTACCTAACTTTAATTATATATACCTTTTGTGACTATTATACTGTAACTGATACAATTACAGTACCTAACTTTAATTATATATACCTTTTGTTAATATATGAAAAGAGTTAGGAAAGAATGCAAGTTGTTCCTGGACCATTTATAGATTCTGTGTGCCTTTCTAAACTTAAGGCTAGAATTTTTGTTGATTTGGAGAAGTCTTTACTCTTTCATGGCGCTAAATTCTTTGATCAGTGCCAATTGTATTTAACTGAATAGAGATTGGGGTTTTAATTTCCTTTTGTAAATGCATGGCCAAAATGAAAAACCAAAATTCTTAACTTGGAAAGCACACATAAAATCTAATGTCATGCAACAGATCGAAGTAGGTCTACAAAATATAAGATTACAACAGCTGTAAGACTGCCATTTACCCACACTAACCCTTGCCAATAATTTAAAAATGAGGCCATGTTGATCCACATGAATAAAATAAAATCCTTATTTGGGCAATATGTATCTTTATTGGAACCAACAGTAACTCCGCTGTACTGTATAAGCAAGCTTTTGAGTTTTCTAGAACTCTCCATCAGATAAGATGGCTAAAAATTTGGGTAGAGGATGAAAGTCTAAATATTTGATTAGATGTCTTAAGCGATATAGTTTAACAGTTAAAGATGGGGAATATGTGCTTGGTGAAGGAAGAGTCATACAACAGCTAGCTGAATATTTGACTTCCTTGCCTTTCCCCTCTCCTCAATTTCTTTTACAGTTTAACCTATCAAGAGTTCTGGAGAACTCAAAAACATATTTATTTGGTGCATTTACACTTTGGGATTAAATGACTGGCCATTTTAGGATCTAGCTAGTAAAGTGACAATCGTATTATTCACACTTGACATGAAAGTAAGCCCAATGGACTGTTTGATTAATGCCCAATCCAATCGGAGTTGTAGTGGGCAGAGTATCATACTACACTACTCTGGAGACCTGGGTTCAAATCGCTGCTCAGCCATGAAAACTCCCTGGAGGAGTGAATCCTAAAATACCTCACATACCAATTACTAGGGTTGCAATAAGTCTGATATAACTTGATGGCATTTAACAGAGACAGGATTTCATTACAGTTCTTTACATGTCTACTTAGAGGTAAAGCCAACTGAGTTTAATGAGATTGACTCATTAAATCTCAATGAGGGGAGTTCAGAATTAAAAATGCAGTCTCTCTGATCTATGTAGTTAACATTCAGGAGATTGCCTTGCAGATGTCCAGTGATGTTTTTGGGCAACTATTTTAATTTTTCTCTGCCTCATTACACAAGAGGCGTCAATCTGGTGAGGCCAAGTAAGTGACCACATAAGTGCGCAAATAAACCTGATTGGTAGCATTAGATGCCCTCCCTCTGGAAGTATCCCAGTCAATCTGGTGAGGAGGCCAAGTAAGTGACCACATAAGTGAGCAAATAAACCTGATTGGTAACATTAGATGCCCTCCCTCTGGAAGTATCCCAGGTTACTGAAGTCTGTTAATTTGGTGTACAGTACTTAATAATAGCTCCTCATCATTAGTTGGCCCAATGCTCTACCCCGGACATACAGGTTTGTTCAGCTGGTCTGAATACTGAAGTTAGGAAAAGGGGCATTTTGCTCCGGAGCGAGCTGCTCTGAAACGCCACAAATACAAAATGCATTTTATCACAAGAAAAAATTGCTTTCTCTACCGCCACAAATTTAGCCTTTAACATTAATTCTGCAAAAGCCGTTTTAACCCCAAATCGTATGTGGCGAAAGCCGAACTGTCTCTATGACGACTCAATGAATTTGCTGCTGACAAGCCTATCCCACTCAACACATCCTTTCCCACGAAATATCTCCAAGGTTGTGTGCTAAAAAACACGCATCTCACACCACAGGATTTACTCTTGACTCTTTTACGCACGCGCAGAGCCCTCCCCTTCACTCTCCTCGAGAGGTAGGAGAGAACGAAGCCTTTCAGGCACACAAAACCGACCCCTTCTTGAAATTGTAACCAATAAAATCCACCGTCTCTATCTATCTTGCGCCTTTAACAAGCCCGCCTGCCCTTCCCACTCTTTTGTGATTGGCGAGCTGAGCTGTCAGACTTCCGTCTGGAGCTTCCGCCAGTCCACGCCGACGTTCTGCACCAGCCTGAGCGTCCCCCCCCCGCTTCCCTCGCTTTTAAGATGTGACCTGATAGGCGGAGGGAGGGGTCGGAATGGCTTCTTGGCTCCGCCTCCTCTGCAGGCAAAGCGGTGGGATTCGCCGGACGCGGGAAAGGGGTAGAAGGAAGAGATCGGTTTGCCCTTTTTCCTGGGGGGTAAGAACGAGAGTGGTTGGGGTTCGTGCAGGAGTGAACCGAGTCTCTGTAAGATCCAGAGACCTTAAATAGGGAAAGCTTATAGGATCTGGTGTTGCTAATGCCATCCCTTCGTCGTGTGTTTTATGTACTGCATTTATTTATGTTTCTAAAATATATTTTTTATCTCACCTTCCTCCCTAAAAGAGAACCAAGGCAGCTTATATCATTAAAAAGATTAATATTCAAAACTAAAAACATGTATGGCCTAAACTGGGGGATATCTTATTCTAATGGCATTGGGGTGCCATGCTTGGCTGCCTTAATTGCTTTTGGACCTCTGCCCCGTTTTCTGCCAAGCATTTGCCGTTAGCAGCTTGAAAACGAATTGAATTCGGGGCCACGTGGTGTAAAAGTGTGCTTAAACTCCAATATGTTCTGGGACTCTGAATCCAGGTTTCAGATTGCCCTGATGTGTGTGTAGGTAGTTTGTGAGTGGCAAGGGAGAAGCTGCTCATGTGCCACTTCACATAATTGTATATTCATTTCAGGCGTTATATCTTTATGCCATTTGATACCCTGAAATGTAGAAATGTGGACCTACAGCATTCAAAATGAGGTTAGGCAAATTGATGGAGGATCGGTGGCCCTCAGTAATGTGGGATAAGTATAAATGTAATATCCATAATGAATTGCCACTTTAGGGGTAGCAGCTGGTATTTAGCTGGTCAATTATATCTCAAGTTACCCTGTGTAATATGCAAGGCAGCTTACAGTAAAACGTGGAGAAAATAATTGCAAGTGAAAACAGTGCCACAATAAAATAAGAACATATAGCAAGAAAATTACTTTCAAGAATCCTCTTGCCTTCATTTCTAATCAGTTGGCAGGTCTAGGCAGATCTTTTGTTTCACCAAAGCTGATTTCTAATGTTTGGAAAATGGGAGAACAGTTTATATGTTTAGAAGAATTTAATGATAATGGCATGTCCTCCAGGCTTCAGGTGGATATGTTGCAAATTAGAATACTGACACACCTCTATTTTTGGGAAAAAAATCATTGCATAGGACATTTTAAAATGGGAAGAGATTAAAACCTGAAATTCCTTCCCTAAAATGATAACTGTAGTTACTGTGGTTAGAAGCAGAAGATTTCACTTCCAGGTGAAGGTTTGCACCAGGAAGATGATGCTTAAAAGAGATAAGAGACCTCTTGATTTCATGGGAAGTAGTTCCTCTTGTAGAAAATGTCACAGAACTAATCAAAGCGCAAAACTGTATAGCCCGCCCCCCAAGATGGAGACTCCTGGAAACATAATGGCCATAATCCTGTTGATGTTTAGGTAAGCTTTGCATAACTTGCCACGGCTAATCAACAAAGTGCTAGGGCATACCTTGGTTTATGACCACGCACATGACTAAGATGTGCCCTGGCACTTCATCAGTTAGCCACAATTAGCTGTGGCAAATTATGCAAAACTTTTATCAATCTTGCAATAGAATTCTGGGCAATATAAGTATCAGATTTTCATGCATTCATTTATAGATTATTGGTATTTTGTGGAAAGTTGCCACATTAAAATCCCACTTTCATGCTGGTTCTGTATGGAGCCATTGTGAGATATTAGGTTGGGTTCTCCAACCATACCCATAGAGTGGGTATGTTTTGCTATGTTTAAATATCTTGCATACTTTGGTTGTAGGAAACATTAGTGCTAAATGTTCTGTGGAAATTCTCCATTATTTAATTGAGAACATAGACATATAACACCGAAATAAGTCATAGCATTATTTAAAGCTGATTGAAAACTGTGGATAAGAGAGTGGTTAAGAAAATGATGCGAGTGTGGATCGGACCTGGGCATCCCTGTCTCTGTAGGATATAGTGAGTATAAATTGTGTAAAGCATCACATCAAAAAGAGCCTATTCTGCTTTTCTTCAGTTTTTATCCCTATCAGCCTTCTCTTTTAGCAGAAAGGAAAGGCTGATGCTTACATTTAGACCCTTTATGAGAGAAATGTCTAGAATCAGTGTCAAGAATATGTGGATTTCTAGAAGCTGTTGACATGAAAGTCCCACCATTTGGCTATGCTGTTTAAGAATGACAGGAATTGTAATCCAGCAAAATCTGAGAAAGTGGTCATTCCCCAGGCCTGATCTACAAATCGCTGAAGATGTACTTAAGTTGTATTTATTGCAGGTAAAATTTTCAGGTGGTTCTAGAAAGCTTTTTAGTCCTAGGTTTCAGGTTTTTATTGGATCTGTTCATTGTCATGGCTTTTCAACCATTTTTTGCTGACTTAAATTGATTAGGTGAAATGGGCAAAGTTTCATTTGCCTCAGAATCATTTTTAAGATGTAACGTCCTTGGAGTGAAAAGTACTGAATGTATTTCCACAAAGATTGTCTTCAGAATCTTCATTTTTGGGGTGGTGGTGGTGATGATATGTGACAGATAGTAACATTCTAGTACTGTACCTGTTTACCGAATGGGTATTCCTTCTTTTACCACCACGTTAGAACTACAGAAGAGACAGTAAGGATAGTTGAATCCAGCTCCTGTCAAAGAGGCACAGTGGGGAATTGAACTCCCAGTCTCTGCTCCTAAACCACTAAGCTATTCAGCAGTTAAAGTGGTCTTTGCCAAAAGCTTTTACTTATCTACTGGTGCATATAACTATGGTACTGTACTGGTACTGTAAGTTCTTCTAGAATCATTTTCTTGATCCTGTTCCAGCAGAAAAAAAAGCCTATTGAAAAAAAGTGGTTCAGCGTCCTAAAAGGTAACAGGGTCAAGTCCCAAGGCAGGAAGCCGTCCACTGTGGGAAAGCCAGAAACAAGTGGTGTGGTTTATGTCAGGGCAGGTTCTGGAAGCACCAGCAGTGTATGGCCACGAGTGGAAGCATCATCTCCTCAGTAGAGGAATTGTTGGATGCTGTATCCCACCCTATTCAGTGAGTCTGATGTCCCAGGAAGGTAGCAAGAGGTTAGGTCCAGAAGCAACTTATTGAAGCCAAGCCTGGTAAAGTGGTTCAGCATCCTAAAAGGTAACAGGATCAAGTTCCAAGGCAGGAAGCCGTCCACTGTGGGAAATCCAGAAACAAGTGGTGTGGTTTATGTCAGGGCAGGTTCTGGAAGCACCAGCAGTGTATGGCCACGAGTGGAAGCATCATCTCCTCAGTAGAGGAATTGTTGGATGCTGTATCCCACCCTATTCAGTGAGTCTGATGTCCCAGGAAGGTAGCAAGAGGTTAGGTCCAGAAGCAACTTATTGAAGCCAAGCCTGGTTTGAAACTCTGGTACCTGCAGTTTGTGAATAAGCGTTTATGTTTCAATGAAGTATTGCCACATGTTGAACAACGAAAAACAATCTTGACTTAACTTTTAGTTTCATGTATGTAAAAAATGAAGTGGAGTACCTGTTTAGCGACGCACGAAGGTGAACTGAAATGGAGCACTCTTTACTTTTAAATTGTGCGTTTAAAACAATGTTGGTATTAAGTCCCAACATATAATTTTTTTGTAGGTAATTCTTTAATCTACAAAAATGGTTTTAAAGAAGAAGAAAGAGATTCAAGTTGATGCCTTTGTTCTTGATCACCAGAAGCTTGAAAGACTTCGCAGTAAGTATAATTAAGTTGTTTAGTTCGTCTCCGTAGACATATCTCAGTGGTGCCATAATGACTTTTTGAATACATTTCCCTTGATGGTACCTTTTAAGTTAAAAGAAAAATCAGCCCTTTTCATATACTGTGGTTCATGTATTTTTCTTCCCACTGTATTTTGAAAAAAAGAGTTTCTGCATTGATGATCAAATTAAAGAGAAACATTCTAGAATGTTTGATTTTGTGTAATTTTACTTAAATAATGTATTGAGAATGGCTTTGAGGCACTTTCCTAATTTTCTAGTTTTAGATAGAAAGTAAGTTGTCTGGCTGTTGAAGGACTGCATTGTCTAAAAATCATAGTTCTGTTTGTACCCTGTGATGCAGAGAAGAGGTAGAGTTGGCAATCATTGCTGCCACAGTATAGTCTCAACCCTTGATTTACTTCTAGGAACACTTCTATCTCTTTATACAATAGTGGCTAGTGGGATGAACCCAATGATTTGTGACTAGATCTCGTAGGGTGTTCTTGCAAATGGAACAGCAAGAGGATCACCACATGTCACCACTCTTTCTCCTTCTATGCATCCCTGTCTACTCTGGGTGACTCTCTGGAATTATGTGGCAGGGTGGCACGCCAGGAATTGTGCAGGAGCTTTTTTTACCCCTTCCTTCTGTTTGTAGAACTTGTTTCTGGATTACATTGCCTTCTGCAAGCAAATGGGTTCCTACTGTGAATGAAATTATTGTAGTAACTCTAATACATTGGTATCAGAATAAGGAGGAAAAGCTTATATAGTGTATGATTGATGACACCGTCTTTATCTTATCCTTAAGTTTGCAGCATCATCCACCTTGCGACCTAGTAACTGTTGTGATGCATTGCAGGGGTTTTTCTTATTTCAGTGGAAAACAAATGGAAGCCACACCTACCATTTTTAGAATGTACTAATAACTCTTGTGGGACAGCTATAGCTCAGGATAGGGTTATGTTATTGCATCTACATTCTCCCTTCAACAACACTGGGGTTAGGGGTACTGGGTTCCTGTGTAGTTCAAAATCCATGTATCAATCTTATGCCCCCAAAATGTAATTGCAAAGCAGTTGATTAACAGCAACCCACAGCCAGCTAAAGGCCATAAAAAGCTTCAGAGGGAGAAGACAGGGACACAGTATCTCCTCTTCTTCCCCCAACAGAGCAGCAGGCAGCTGCTTTGTAGTCGGCACCGTGAAGGGAAAGCCCAAGGAGGCCAGGAGGCCAACCACAGCAGGCGTAAGGGGAAGCTGGTGGAGCTTGGAGAGATCAGTGACAAGGGAAAAGAAGGAAGACTTGACTAGATTTGAAATTACTCATGCCACTGTGACTTCTCCTGACATGTGTCAGCCTTCTGGCATGCCTCGGCACCCTCTGTGGCTGCCACATGTTGCTGCTCGAGTCAAGCAATAAGTCCCCCCCATTCCACAGTCTGTCAAGTGGGACTCTATGAGTGATCGCTTTCATAAAACACTGTATAGAATCATATATTCATAGAATAAGGGATAAGGGGGCTTGCTTTTGTAATGTAAATTTGACAGTACGACACTCAAGGTGTTTTCTTTCTCTGTCTTTAGGTTTGGCAGACGTTGAGGGCCAAAATCTGGCCTCTGTTTTGTTATCCTGTGCACAGCTGAGTGACGGCATCCAACAAATCCATTGCATCAAAAAGGTTTGATAGCAATAAAATGTTTAACAGTAATAACAATTATGGTCTGGATAAATTTTTGTAAAATGCTACAGGTTTTTACTTCTTTAGTTTTATTTATTGAAAGATTTCAAATCTGCTCTTAATTGACATGTGTCAGAGTGGGATCCAATAAGAAAAGACACTACTGTATACACAAATATAATTTAATTTTTTAAAACAATTATAAGTTTTAAGACACATCATAGCAATTCAAAAATTAAGATACTTTTGGGAAAAGAGCAAAGTAAAGGATTAGAGACCATGCCCTCTTTATTTGTCAGAAATTATCAGATAACATAAGGAGAAAAGAAGCCTGGCATATCTCAGTTGTTAATTTGTTCCAGAGCCTGGGGGTCACCACTGAAAAGGCCTAGTTCCCTGTCAAGGCCTTCTTGGCCTCTCTTGGTGTGATCCCTTTTAGTGAATTGAGAGGAAAAGGTGAAAACGGGTAAATGAGATGTTCAAACAATTCTTCAGGTCCTAAACAGCTTCATAGGTTATAACCAGCACCTTGAACTGAACATGAAAAATAACATGGGGCCAGTGAAAGTGAGATAAGCTGGTATGGGAAATACCTCCCCATTTATATGTTTGTCTTGTTAGTTTTCTATCTTTTGTTAGGTTTATGTGTTATTGTTTTGTAGATATTTCTGTTGTTTGTTTGTTGTAGGAGTGTATGTTATAAAAATAATAAAATGTAAAAAAAAACAAGTTTGAACCACTCCTACATAAGACTTTTCATTAATAAAATTCCGCTCACCAGGGTTATGTATTAAAATATCTTCTGCCTTTACTAGAAAACAATGAATCTCCACCTCTCGCAGCTCCAGCCTCAGCCCGGGCTTAAGGTTGCTGCAGGCGCAGAGGGTCTTTCTTGGCCAGGGTGGCGCGGCGGTGCCTCAGTCTCCCTGCCGAGCTGGAGCTGTGAGGGGTGGAGAGAGAGAGAAAGAGACGAAGCACAGCTGATCGGTGGGGCTTTGGGATGATGGTGGGGAAGCGCTTCCCGGCGATCAGCCCAAAAATGGGGGTTTTGCAATGATTGCTTCCCTGCTATCATTGCAAAGCTAATTTTCCCCATAGGGGCCATCGCAAAGCGATCACTCTTGCGATGGCAAAAAGTCCATTGCAAAGTGATTTCGTCGTAAAACGGAGCGATTGCTATGCGAGGCACCACTGTAGTTTAATAGTTTATTTTGTTTACCTCCTAATGTTGTTTTTTTAAGCTGCCTTGGGTCTTTTGTCCTTTTTAGAAGAAAGGTGGAATATAGATATTTTAAATAAATTAAATAATGACTACAACTCAGAACATTCAGGCTTTGTGTGTGTGTTGTTTACATAATACTGCAATGTTTATTGTTCTAACTGAATTTCTAAACTGCTCAAAATAAAACCAGTATAGTTTAAATCATTGGAGTACTAACATTATTTAACTTCGATATATATGCATGTTAAATATTTTTAAAAATTCCAAATTTCTTCACAGCCTTGGATTATTTTTTCCTGTATGAGTTTTGAAGGATTTCTTTGTTAAATACTAACCCTATAATGTATTACAACAAAGCAGCATAGTCTTGTAGAACTGTAAAATGTAGCAAGTTTTATGTGGCATGACCTTTCTGGAATGCAGCTGACTTCATCAGATGTAGGCTGCCATGTTTCTGAAGACATAGCTACAGTCTATGAAAGCTTATGCGAAATAAACTTAATGAAGAATCTTATGACACATTAAAAACTAAGACTCTTTTGATATAAAGGTCTATGGACTGGGACCTAATTCTTCAGATGCAGCGTCATATACATCTGATGAATTTAACTACTGTCCACAACAGCTTATATGGCCATTAGGAGTCAGCAGGAACATTATACAGAATACAACCAGTATCTGCAATAAAAAGTTGCAGTTTGGTGCTCTTTATATTCCAGGCTACAGACTGAAACAGCTACTGAAAGAAGCAGAACTGAAGCAGTATTTACTTTTTAAAACTTGGTCATTTTCTAACAACTTATGACATTTTCTGTCAACAGTAAACAAATAATGGCATATGAAGATTTGCAGAACTAGAAGATGTCTTAAAAAACAAACAGGGATAACACCTGTTAAATGCTCCAGAACGCTCTGTCTGTGTCTGGATGGGAGGAAATATAAAGACATGAAGGGAGGGGAAGTGGTGTGCAGGACTGATTAGCTAGAATATAAAGTGCACCAAACTGCAACATTTTGTTACAGGTACTGATTGTATTATGTATAGCATTCCTGCTGACTCCTATTGCCCATAAAATGATCTTTATTTTATGATGTGTATGTAAATTTTCAGATTGCATTTTTAAGTGAATATAATATACAGTGGTGCCTCGCATAGCGATCTCTCTGTTTAACAAAGAAATCGCTTTGCGACAATGTTTTTGCGATCGCTTACTGATGGTTCCTATGGGGAAAATTCATTTTGCGATGATTGCAGGGAAGCAATCATCACAAAGCCCCCATTTTTGGTCAGCTGATCAGCGGTTCCAAAATTGCCACCGGGTAAACAAATGGCCGCCTGCTGTGTTGCCTCGCTTTAGAGGCACCGAAAATGGCCGCCCCTATGGAGGATTTTCGCTTAAGGTTAGTTTTTAAGCCCATAGGAACGCATTAATGGCATTTTAATGCATTTCTATGGGCGTTTTAATATCGCTTAGCAATGAAATCGCTTAGCAGCGATTTTTGCTGCATGGATTAACATCGCTAAGCACGGCACCACTGTATAATATTGAATTGTGGGTGGAAAAATAATCATGTTCCTCTTTTGTAATATGTACAGGTCGTACATTTATTGGAAAAGAGTGATAAAGGCTCTTTGTGTGATGCTGTGGTCAAAACCTTCCTAGATACTTTGGGATTTATTTTCTTATCTCTGGATACGAAGAACCCTTTGAAAAAAGTGTTGGCAAGGTAACGTGAATGAGGCAGTTCGGTTTTTTTTAATAATGTGACTGTAGTCTGCCCAGGTATATTGAAGAGGAAAATTGACTTTAGGAAATATATGACAGAAGGTACACTGTAATGAGCCATTGTAAATAACACACAGTTTTCAAAATGCACTAAGCCAGCAACATGTCAATCCTTCAGTAGGTAGTGATTCTTGAAGTGTTCTTTGCTTACAGCTTTTTTTCTGTATTTAAGAATTACTGTATACTCTGCAACAAGACTTCGAAAGCTGTTTTGTTTGTACATTGGTTTGTTCAGATGGCAAAGTCCAAACAGTCCTTTTAAAAATAACAGTGCAAGGATGCTCCAGAGAAAGAAGTCTTGGCAAATGGTTTCCTAGGACTTGACCTAAACATTCAATAGGTTGCAGTCCAAGGAAAGAAATTATTAGGTAAAGGTAAAGGTTGCCCTTGACATTTAGTCCAGTTGTGCCCGACTCTAGGGGGCGATGCTCATCCCTGTCTCCAAGCCGTAGAGCCAACGTTTGCCCGTAGACAGTTTCTGTGGTCACGTGGCCAGCGCGATGAGACACGGAACGCCGTTACCTTCCCACCATGGTGGTACCTATTTATCTACTTGCATTTACATGCTTTCGAACCGCTAGGTTGGCATTAGCTGGGACAAGTGACGGGGGCTCACTCCGTCACATGGATTCAATCTTACGACTGCTGGTCTTCTGACCTTGCAGCACAGAGGCTTCTGCGGTTTAACCTGCAGTGCCACCACGTCCCCTAAGAAATGATTAGTGGCATGCAAAATAATTTAGCAATATGTTAACATGGTATGGACACTGATGGGTGGGGTAGAGGTAGAAATCAAATGAATAAATAAATAAATATTTTTAACATCCTTGCATAGCCATTATTATGAATTATTTTAAAAGTGAAAGTTCTAAGCTATCTGTTTAATTTTTTTTAAAAAATGTGCTATTTCCATTGCTATGCCTGTGGTACTGGTAATCTGACAAATAAGGTCAAGGATATGTTCTACCCTTATTACAGTCTTTTGTAGCAAATGAGACTTTGGAAGAGTGTTGTAATTCAGATTTGTGGTCCAATCTAATTCCCACAGTTCTGAAATTATGATCGCATGCTTGAGGCATAAATCAGCTAGGATTCCGACTTCTGTAGTAGCTGCCTGCTGTTCCTCTGTTTTACAGAGGAGCAATTTGAATTTGCTCTGTTTCTTTAGAGCTGGATGTTAAAGTAATGAAATCAAAATAGTACTCTGTTTTGAAAGCATAGTTGTGTAGGCCCTTACTCTGTATTGATTCTCCTAAATTCTTATTTAAAGTCATAATAATCTTGTATTGCCCAGAAAGGTCCACATGTGTTTCTTTATTTCGAAAGTTTTTAGTGTTTCAGGTAACTTGAAAATGCTCTCTTCAACTACAGCTCACTGAATGGCATTCCTGAAACTCTTATCTCTGAAGCTACTCAGAGTTTTGTTTGTTGCCTTAAGGAAGAACTAGAAGTTACAGACCTGTCTCAGTACAAGAGGATTATGGACAATCTTGCCTTTTGTATGGACAACAATATAGGTATGATTAGTTAACATTTTGGAACTTGCAACAATTTCAGAAAGGATTTATATTGATAGGGTTGGTATAAGATTCTAAAATATATATTTGATTTTTCAGGTATATCAAGTGTGAATATGCTGTTTGAAGAAGGTAAATTGTTGTTATTTCTACATTGTGTAAAATATTCTAAGACAGAAATCTGTGTTTTGTAGCTTCTCGTGAAGATTGCAGAGTATATACATCTCTCTCAATTGTCCTATGGGTCATCGGAAGAAACTCTTACTTCCAGTGGTATTCAGAAAAAAATTAGAATGAGGGAGATATATAACAGTAACTGTTACTATTACTGACTGCAGTCAAAGTGTCAAAGGAGATCTTTTAGTGTGTAACACTAAACCATGGTTTGGTGCAGTGTGTATGAGAACCTTGAGCCATATCTTGGGCTCCTCTGCTTCTGTTTCCTCTTTCCCCATGTTGCACTTGGAGAATTATGTTGACAGTGGTTATATTCAGTTTCCCCATATCTCGCCACTTGCATGCAAAACAGTGGTCATGGTTGATTTAAAATGCTAGCTGATTTTATGTATTCCTCTCTTGATTATGACATTGTCAAATGGCTGCATGTTTGTGAATAGCTGGTCAATATTTTCGTTTTTTAAAGCTGGAACATAAAAGACATTGCTTATCACATATATGGAACAAGGAGGATGTTACGGAAGTAAAGTACCCAAAGACTTGCCCATAATAGTTCCTCATCTAATTTAGTGGGTGGCACTTTCAGAGAATGGCCTCTTAGTTGTAAAGATCTTAACAGTTGAAAAGGATTGAGAACATTTTTATGCGAGACCAGTTTGAAATAATGTCTTATTATGCTTTCCAACTCTAATTCCACAGTTCTTCAATTTTTGCGGAAATCTATATGTGAAATAGAGGAAGAAAACAGGTGAGTACCACTACTCAGTACAAAAGGATGAGGAATGTAAAAAGTTTATCCGGGATACCTTATTGGATCTATTCTCAAAGGCTTTCAGAGTCGGGATCTTGTGGTTGTTGTAGGTTTTCCAGGCTGTTTGTTCTAACTCCTGTCCTCTGAAGATGCCGGCCACAGAGACTGGTGAAACATTAGGAAGAAAAGCCTCCGGAACACGGCCAAACAGCCCGAAAAATCTACAACATACCTTGTTGGGTTTGTTCTTTTAACTGTAAGAGACTAACAAGGTAACTCATTTGGACTTTTCCTTTCTCTTATTTTAAAAGAAAGTTCTGTGGAAACCGCATTGCACAAACTAGGTTGATGCATGATTTGCTGATGGGCATTAAAGTTTCAATGATGCTGATACAAAAAGTTCAAGAAAATATTGAGGAAAATACCTGGAAGAAATTGGATTCTCCTGCCTGGCAAAACATGTGTGGGCTACTAAATAATTTTACTTGCTTCTTGAGAAATGGTAAGTTTTTTTTGTTGATGATTAGCTTACTCATTTTTTACATTCTAGTAGTACAGATCTGGCTTTGCTATCAAATTGGTAAATGAAGATGTAGGGCTGATCACTCTACGTAAATCTTTATCACTTTTCCTATTTTGTAAAACTGTTCCTCAACGTTTTTGTACTGCGGACCGGTGGAGCCTCTGAGGGAGGTGGGGCGACCCCCTCGCGCTTGCGCTCTCTGACGCACGAGCAAAGTGGTTGGGGAAGTGGTTCCCTCACCGCTTCGCATATGCGCAGGAGCACCTGCCCACCCGCGCACCCACCCCACCCCTGCGCGCGGGCACATGCTTGAAGGGGTGAGGGAGTGTTTACGTAGGGGAAGGGCTGGGGCTATTTTCCAATCGCGACGTAGGTGAAGACCCTCAGGGGCGAGGAGCCCCTCAGGGTTGGGGGCTGAGATAAGGGAACAGCTTGCTGGGGTTCGGTAAGGCTTGCTGGCCTCTCCCTTCCCCACCCCAGAACAGGAGCCTTGCTCGTCTGCCCTACCCACCGCTTTACCTTGCCGAGGCACAGCAAGAAAAGGAAGAGAAGCTGCACCAGTGGCTCTCTTTCTCCTGCCCACCCCCAGTTCACCTTGTCGCCCTCCGCTGCAGTGTTGTGCCTCCGGGAAGTAAAGTGTGTGGGGGGGAATATTCCGGTTCGTTTGGGAGGCTTTACTTTCTTGCCACTTTGGGTTCCAACTTGGCCGCTGCAGTGTTGCGCCTCCGGGAAGTAAAGTGGGGGTGGGAATATTCCGGTTCATTTGGGAGGCTTTGCTTTCTCGCCACTTTGCGTTCCAACTTGGCTGGAATTCTCCAGCTCGTCAGGAAGCCCTGTTGCTGATCAACTTCAGAAAAAAGTGTGGCGGTGGCGGTGTGGGCTATGGAAGGGAAGGCTTGTGCCGAGCCACAAAGGCAGACCTCCCAACCACCCCCACAAGCACTTCCCTCCCCACAGCTGCTTTGCGTGCGGGGCGCTTGAATGAAGCGGCGAGGGAGCGCTCATGCTGGCAAGCGCGGGCGCAAAGCAGCTCTGGGGAGAGGAGTGCGTGCGGGGGGTGGGGAGAGTTCTGCCTTCACGGCCTCCCGGGTCTTGCCCACTCCCACCCCCCTCCGCTGCCGCCGCCACCGGCGCCGGGAGGAAAGCAGCCAGAAGAGCACCCGGCCATGCTCTTGCCTCCCGGCTCTGGCTCACCCCCGCTACCACTGCTGGGCCACAAAGGCAGACCTCCCGACCACCCCCACAAGCACTTCCCTCCCCACAGCTGCTTTGCGTGCAGGGCACTTGAATGCAGGAGCGAGGGAGCGCTCATGCTGGCAAGCGTGCATGCAAAGCAGCTCTGGGGAGGGGAGTTTGTGCAGGGGGAGGTCTGTCTTCACGGCTTCCCGGGTCTTGCCCACTCCCACCCTCCTCCGCCACCGCTGTCGGGAGGAAAGCAGCCAGAAGAGCACCTGGCGGCTTCCTGCATCTTGCCCACTCCTACCCTCCTCCGCCACCGCTGTCGGGAGGAAAGCAGCCAGAAGAGCACCTGGACATGCTCCTGCCTCCTGGGCTCTTGGCTATCCCCCTCCACCGCTGCCTCCAAGTGTGTGCGGGGGAGGGGGGATGGTGGGAGGTCTGTCTCCGCGGCCCGGTCAGGGTCAAGCCATGGACCGGCAATGGGCCGTGGACTGGGGGTTGACGACCTCTGTTGTAAAATACTTCTTTAAAAACAATCCTGGGTGATATATATAGAATATCTGAGTGGAATTCTCCTCTTGTGACAAGTGGCTGTAGTGTTTCCTCTACTTTTCCTCTGCATATGAAAATCTGCTCCCTTTCTTTGGGAACACTGTGTGAACTGGAGTGGGAGGTTGCACAAGGGAGAATTAAAATCTCTCTACCTTCCATGTTTGGCCCCCACTGCTGAATTGCAGTCCCTTCGCAAAAAGAAGGAACCTTTTGTTTATGGAAGAAATATTCATTTGTTGTCCGAAGAAAATATTTTTGTGTGAGTGCAGTATTGTGAAATTGAAAGTAGAATAGATGCTTGGTTACTTACTTTTGAGAAAGGAGTGTTTTGGTTCAGAATAGGGCCATAAATTCAGAATGCTAAGCAAGGTGGAGGGGCCAGCTAGAAGCCTTAGATTTGCACTTCCATTACTCATGGCTATTGAGTCTTCCAAGTTCAAAGAGTTCCTTGCTTGTTTATTTCTATTGATTTTCTTCCCTGACACTTTTCTAATGCTTTTGAGGATAAACGGGATGAATATTGTTCTTTTAAGAATGGAACTTACCAAGAAGGCTGAGGATGTTGCTTAAAAAGTTTTAACTGCTGTTTTAATACTAACATAGTTGTCTCTCTATATATTCATTTTATCCAGATGATCTCTTACAGAATGTTCAGATCACAGCAGGACTGGCTGTTGTTCTCTTCCTTAAAACTATGTTTGAACCAGTGGTAAAGCTACCATGCTTGGTGAGTGTATTTTCTTTGTTGATGTAAAAGTTTGCAAATTAATTGTGGATGTGGCTGTATGGTGGTGACTGGTCAACAAGGCACATGATCAGACCTTCGCAAGTAACCTCAGCTGCTTTTGTAATCTCCCTTGTTAGTATTGTAATTTGAGTAGAATACTGGCCCAAAAATCTAATAGCTACTTCACTGCTGGTGTCAAAAGAATATTAGTAACTTTATGTTACAAGTCTACTTGGAAGTCAGCATTGCTGAATACATGGGTATTTGTTTTTAGGTGAGTAAATGTAGGATTGCAGCTTTAGTCACTTTGTTACTCAACCTATTATAGTTTTGGTTGTTGTGGGTTTTTTGGGTTCTTTGGCCATGTTCTGAAGGTTGTTCTTCCTGACGTTCCTACTCCAGTCCTCTAAAGATGCCGGCCACAGAGACTGGCGAAACGTCAGGAAGAACAACCTTCAGAACACGGCCAAAGAGCCCGAAAAACCCACAACAACCATTGGATCCCGGCCGTGAAAGCCTTCGCAAATATTGTAGTTTTCTTTTGCTTGGACCACATTTCATGATTTATGAAGAATTTAAGCATTTTAGGCTGCAGTCCCTTGGACATAAGTCCAATTGAAACTGGTAGGATGTGCCCCCAACATGAATTTGACCCAACTCTGGGAGGCAGTGGAGGACAGGAGGGCCTGGTGTGCTCTGGTCCATGGAGTCACGAAGAGTTGGACACGATTAAACAACAACAAGGATGTACCCAGCCGTCCTAAGACTCACTGAATTCACTCTTTATGTTAAACATGCATGTGACCAGATTTTGGTCCAATGTTTTCTGCATCCCTGATAACAGCTTATTGTTATGGCATTCAGATGGACATACAGTTAGGCAACCTTTGGGTGGCTGGTTCTGTACTGAGAATCTTGAGGAAAATAGCTGAAAGGGTTTTGGAAAGTGTTGCAACAAATTTGCTTTTTAGAGTGATTTAACATGGGCTGGGTGGATAGCTCAGTGGGGCCAGAGGTTGGGAGTTCGATTCCTTACTGTGCCTCCTGCAAGTAGAGCCAGTCTTTGTGGCCTTGGGCAAGCTGCACACACCAGGCCACTCCTGGCTCAGGTTGGCCCTGATCCTGCAGCTCCCAGGGCAGTAAAGGCCAGATCCTGACAGTAGGCACGTTCAATTGATTTTGAACAAGCTCACAGCACCTATGTAGATCTTCACAATGGACACATCAACGTCTGCATGGCTTCCAGTGTGGTGTGGAAGAGGCTTGTATGCCTAACCCCCTCCCTCCAATCCTACATTGGTCAGGGTAGCAGTAAAGAGAGTGGGTACCTTTTCAGAATTAAATTTTGCCATATAATACACGGAATTTCATTATCTTACTATGCAATATTATTTGCTTTCAGTAATGTGTGTTCTTTTGCAGATCAGTGACTTGCTTTGTGGGTCTCTGAAATACTGTGACTTGCCGGCGTGGTTTGTGGACAGCTGTGGAAGTCTTTGTACCACTGAACTTTCAGACTCGGCCGTCCTTTTCCTTTGCCATGGAGCACTTGCTATGCTAGAGTGGAGAAATAACTCTATGGGCCAGAATGGAGAGAAACTGCTTTTGGATATTGTCTTTGCTTTATTGACTTTGAGTGCACGGTAAATATTACTTTTTACACTTTAAAAAAATTCATCCAGAAAACAGAATTTGAGGTCCATGATTTCTAGATCTCAAGTTGTATTTTAAATGAAACCCATTAAGTGTAATTTCAAATTGGGCTAAGTAGAGCAAGGAGAAACATTACTTTATACAGTGTATATTGAGAACTGTGGCGCGAATATTATGCTACATATTTTTGAGGAAGACTTGCTGGGTAGCTCATTGGGTTTGGGGTATCTGACTTTAAAAGCCAAGGATTCAGGTTTTGATTCCCGGCTGTGTCTCCTGAAAGAAGAGCCAACCATGCAGCATCAGGCAAACTGCAGAGAGCTAGGGTACCATCAGAAGAAGGGGGACTGTTAAACAACTTCTGAGTACTTTATATCTAGGAAGCCTGGCAAGTGTTGCCATAAGTTGGAATTGACTTGGCATCATATAATTATTATATGGGGAAGGAGATTGTAATCCACACAAGATCGCTTCAAAATAAATGTGCTAACACATTGTACCTTATTAGAGCATCAAATGGGGTAACAGCAAACTAACTTAAATAGAAGGACCTTTAATACTTGGGAGGATGCTTTCTTGTCGCTCACCATTAGAGGAGAGATGCCTTTTTTAGGACAATGAGCAAAAGTACCACTTAGGGCTGCAATGATATACTTAGCTGACGTCTGTTTACCTCCGTGAGAGCGATTTTTTTATATAGACACATCACAATTGTACTGTATGTGCTTTTTGCAGTTTAAGGTTTACCTGAAACTAACATGAAACTTCATTTAGTAGTGAAGCTAGAGATATGTCTTAGTAGAACAAGGTATCTTCTCTTTCTGTATCCTTTCAAATTGTGGTGTTTGCGAAATACAGGGACTGAACATACGCTGACAGAAAACTACAGGAAATAATACTTCACTAACAGTAAAATGAGTATAGGGGGAAAAGCCACAAATTTATAAGATAAATAGACTGGGTTATAAGAGGCAAGGTACAGTATGCTGGGACTCTTCCAGATTAACCATTCTATAATTTTATGATTCTCCCTATTTTTTCAATGACTCGAAATAGTAGTGGACACACAGCTAAGTTTGTCAACTATGTTGGCTTGAAAGGCTAAGCTGGCCTGTTTCTTATAATTTAAGTTTGACCAGCTTGTGGTTTAATTGGGTCGTATGGGTCCAAAATAGAAATGTTGATATTCATTCTAAAATATTTTAGTTTGCTCCAGGAGACCTATGAAGAGTGACTGTTAAACTAGAAAAGTACCAAAAATAAACTAAGTTTAACTTCATTGAAATAAGAGAGACAATGATGAATGTCACTGATGTTTGTAGAAAACTGTGAAAACAACATGTATCAATAATAGTGTCAATAATGTGTCAGTAGTCTCAATAGTATTCAAAACATAACAAAGGAAATAGTTATAATGTTGCTATCATAAAAGGCAGTGATAAAATAATGCCTAAGATATTGAAAAAATATTGGATTACATAATCAAAGCATAATAGATGGGAAACAGATTATCAAAGCATTTGTATTAAAGAATAAGTCCCAGGTTATCATAACATCTTTTTCAGCTCGGCTAACTCAAGCCGTTTAAGTTCCTGGCTATAAGAATAATGCATATCTACCACTCCAGTGGAGACTTAAGGATTCTTAGTTGCAATGGAAAATTCCAGAAACATTAAAACAAGTTTTAATATTATATTTCAGGGAAAGGTTTTAAATGTATTTTAAAAAGTTCACAAATGTTGAGGGGGGGGAAATCAAGCAAACAGAATAATAAAGGCCTTAAATTAAAGTTTAGCACAAAGTTGAGTTTAGAAGAAAGATAGTTTTTCTCTTAAGAAGGTAATCATGTTGAAAACAAAAATTTGAAGCAGTGGGAGGATCTAAATAGGAAATTTGTCAAATGAAAGAGTAAAACTGTCCCTCCTCTCTATCATGAGAGAAAGTCACATGTATCCTGCTGAAAATGTCAGGAGAGAGAGAGAGAATCTAATGCAGCAATCCAAACCAAATATTTTATTTATTTATGTAAAATATTTTTACCCAGCTCTCTCCTTAAAAAATACAGTAGAAGATAATATTTAAAAGCTAAAAATAGGAAGTGTACAAATATTTACAAAGAATCAAATAACATACTAAAAATAGTATATAATGATCCAAGCAAGCAAAGATGTAAAATAGCCACTTACTTTCAGTGATAGTCCCACTTCAGTATGTCTCGATTGGATATTGTGTTCTTCCAATCAAAACTAATTCTGTCTTGATTAATGACTAGTTCAAAAGTTTGGTCATATCTTTGACTTCTCATTTCCATTTAGTGCCTGTCTTTCAAACTGGCTTATCAAAATGCAGAACATTATGTAAATTCAGGTATCTCAACAATCGTCCTTGGTTCTCTTCTTGGTCCAAAGAAGAGTTAGACACACAAAATATATATCTAGACTGGTGGTCCAGAGCACAAGTGGAATCTAGGTATAGAAAAGATAAAATAAAGGGCTTTTACACAGAACAAACGATATTCAATTAACTTCTATTGGGCTCAAATGATAAGAAATTAAGAAAATGTATGATTATTCGCTTGAAACCAAAATGCAAGATGAGATGGTAATGTATGATTAGGTGGGCACAAAATATAGGATGTAATATTGATATTGATCAATGGTTGCAAATAAGGAAAAATAACATAAAGCTCACAAAATCGGTAAATTTCAAGGAGAACATATATAAGATGTTTTATAGGTGGCACATGACTCCGGAAAATTGTCAAAAATTTATACAGAGGTGTCAAAAGTACAAGCTGGATTCCGAAGGTGCCAGAAGTACAAGCTGGATTCCGAAGAGGCAGAGGTACCAGAGACCAAATTGCTAACATGCGCCGGATTATGGAGAAAGCCATTGTTCCAGAAAAACATTTACTTCTGCTGCACTGACTACACAAAAGCCTTTGACTGTGTGGACCACAGCAAACTATGGCAAGTCCTTAAAGAAATGGGAGTGCCTGACCACCTTATCTATCTCCTGAGAAACCTATACGTGGGACAGGAAGCAACAGTTAGATCTGGGTACGGAACAACTGATTGGTTCAAAATTGGGAAAGGAGTACGACAAGGCTGTATATTATTTAACTTATATGCAGAATACATCATGCGAAAGGCTGGACTGGATGAATCCCAAGCCGGAATTAAGATTGTCAGAAGAAATATCAACAAC